ACTTGTATATTAGTTCAAGATGAACAACACTATATATTTATTTACATTGCTTTGGCTATTTATAAGTGACACATATTGGTCACAAATTAGATTCTGCAGAATATCCAGCACAGCTAGGATAACTTCCAATAGTATTTTTTTTTGAACTAAACAAACTACAGTTTTGAATTAGAACTCAACACTTCCCCTTAATTCATAACTGTTTGGCACTCACAACTCCAAGTTTGTTTCTCAAAAACTCAAATCTGTCAAGCTTTAGAGCCTTTGTGAAGCCATCTGCTAGCTGTACTTCAGTTGGACAGTACTGCACTTCTATCATTCCATTGCTTACTTGTTCTCTAATGAAATGGAATCTTGTATCAATGTGTTTACTCCTGCCATGTGAGATCGGATTCTTTGTAAGACTGATAGCTGACTTGTTGTCAATTCTGAGCATGAGAGGTTTCATCACTTCACACCTCAGCTCCTTCATTACTGAGTTCAGCCACATTGCTTGGCAAGTTGCAAATGTCCCTGCAATATATTCTGCCTCACAGGATGAAAGTGCAGTCACCTGTTGTTTCTTGGTACACCATGATATGCTTGCCTCATTGAACTTGAAGACATAGCCAGAAGTGCTCCTTCTATCTATGATATCTCCACACCAGTCACTATCCGAATACCCAATCAATTCATTCCTTCCACCTTTGCTTCTATTTGGAAATAGCAAACCAAAATCCTTTGTGCCTTTTATGTACCTGAGTATCCTTTTAGCAGCTATCAGATGAGTCTTTCTTGGGTCCTGCATGAATTTGCTAATCACACTGACTGAGTAGCATATATCAGGTCTGCTATTGCACAAGTATCTTAGTGAACCAACTATTTGTCTAAACATTGTTTGATCCACTCTTTCTTCATTACTGCACTCATCCAATTTTGAATTTGTCTCTGATGGATTTGAGATTGAGTTGCAGTTACTCATTTCAAATTTCTCAAGTAACTCACCTATGTACTTCTGCTGGTGCATCAGTATTCCAGCCTTTGTCTTCATAAATTCCATACCTAGGAAGAATGAGAGTTCACCTAGGTCAGTCATTTCAAATTCAGACTTCAACTTGTCTTTCACTTTCTCAATATCTTCTATTTTGCTTCCAGTAATTAGCAGGTCATCCACATATAGGCAAATTATCATGCTATCCTCTTCGTTTGCATTTTGCACATATACACCAAACTCCACTGTGCATTTTTTAAAGCCTATTTGAATCAGGAACTGGTCAATTCTTTTGTTCCAGGCTCGAGGGGCTTGCTTCAAGCCATACAAGGCTTTATGGAGCCTATACACCATGTTCTCTTTGCCTTGTATTTCAAACCCAGGAGGCTGTGACACAAATACAACCTCTTCAAGTGGACCATTTAAGAAGGCTGACTTGACATCTAGGTGATGAAGTAACCATCTTCTCTTACAGGATATAGCTACTACTAATCTCACAGTTTCAAGCCTTGCAACAGGGGCAAAAACCTCATTGTAATCTATACCATGTTTTTGCAAGAAGCCTCTAGCCACCAATCTAGCCTTGTGCTTTGACACTTTTCCATCAGGTTTTAATTTCAGCTTAAACACCCACTTTACATCTATCTTCCTTTTCTTATCTGGCAAGTGAACTAACTCCCAAGTATGATTCTTCTCAATTGAATTGAGCTCATCCACCATGGCTTTCTTCCAAGCATCTATCTTTAATGCTTCTTTATAATTGATAGGCTCAGAATCTGCCAGCAACGCAAAATGGATAATATCACCCTCATCGTTTACTGCATTATCTGAAATCACTTCACAGTCATTTAACCTCTTTGGAGCTTGTCTAGTTCTTGCAGGCCTCATAGCTTCTTCTGCTTCTACTTGTTCATCTGCATTATTTAGTTCCACTTCTTCATTTTCTGAATCACCTGCATCACTGTTGTTCACTTCTTCATTCTCTGACTCATCACTTGAGTCAGGATAGATGCAATTTTGTTGGTTTTCTTCACTGTATGTTGGTTCCTCTTCCCATTTCCATTTTTCAGCTTCATTCACTATCACATCCCTACTGACATGTACCTTTTGAGTTAAAGGATTATAGAGCTTATAGGCACCTGTGGGATGATATCCTATAAGTATCATAATCTCACTTTTATCTTCAAGTTTGCTTCTTCTAGCATCTGGTATGTGCTTATAGCACAAAGAGCCAAAAATCTTGAAGTGTTTCACACTGGGTTTTCTTCCACACAAAGCTTCCTCTGGTACTTTTGACTTCAGCTTCTTTGTAGGACACTTATTTAGAATGTAAGCAGCTGTAGTAACTGCTTCCCCCCAAAACTTGTGTGGTAGATTCTTCTGTTTGATCATGCTCCTTGCCATGTTTAGTAAAGTTCTATTCCTCCTTTCAGCCAATCCATTATGCTGAGGTGTATATGGTGCTGTTACTTCATGCATAATTCCTTGATTGGCACAGAAAGCTTCAAACTCTTTTGAGGTGTATTCTCCTCCCCCATCAGTCCTCAAGATCTTAATAGATTTGTCACTTTCCTTTTCTATTAAGACTTTGAATTTTCTGAATACTTCTAAAGCCTCACTCTTAAGCTTGATTGTATACAGCCATATCATCCTTGTATACTCATCAACAAAAGTGATGAAGTATTTGCTTCCCCCTAATGAAGGCACTTCAAATGGACCACAGATATCTGAGTGGACTACTTGAAGTGTCACATTAGCTCTCTTAGGTGCTTCAGGGGCAAATGGGAATCTACTTTGCTTACTTTTTACACACACTTCGCAGATGGTTCTTCTGACTTTCAGTTTAGGCAGGCCATATACCAGTTCTTTAGAGTTTAATTCACTAAGACTTCTAAAGTTTAAATGACCATACCTTTGTGCCATAATTCTTCAGCATTTTCACTTACTGCAGCTGACATACACATCATCTTTTCACTTGAGATGTTGCACCTGTATGTTCTATTCTTTGACATGTTTGATTTGAGTACCAAGTTCTTCCTTGAATCAAACAGCTTCAGAGAGTTACCATCCATGGTTACTGAGAATCC